AGAGACTTTGCTTCTGCATTTTACCATAAATGAAAGTTTATTTATAACTTTTATGTCTAGGCTGGTGACTATTTACCTGTCTCAACAACATTGTTTCAGCTCTAACTTTTTTGCTATACTTGCATTCATTTCTGAATTGTCTTTTATTTTAATCAGAAATTTTATATTTGGGAGGTATGTCTTCATTACGACTATTTTTTCATGATAATTTTAGATTATGGCTAATTTTCATTAATAAGTCTTGGTTTAAAAAAATCTAGGATGGCTAGTCGAAGTTTTAGTTTACACATGACTTTCCGGTGCCTGATTTTATATGTGAATATAAGCTTTATTTGTAAGGCTCTTTTATTAATTGAATGCAAATCTTCTTTTAATTTTGAAGAAAAAGTTGGTTGGTAGGAATTCCTGAATCGGCCTCAGGGAAAATCGAAAGAGGAGATTGTTCGATTACGCTAAGATGTCCTCTGCTTCCGTCGTTCTACTGCAATGAATCTACCCTTCGTGCGAAAAACATCTTCAGGACTAGGAACTATCATTTAACAAGAAGCTCTATTACATTCAACTAAGAAAATGGTCAGCTGACCATTCGATATAAAGGAGGCTATGCTTATTTAGCACATGAAATTCGAGTCCTTCATGAATTTTTAACCTTTATATTCACCTTAAGCCACTTTAATTTATCTTATATAAGTTTGCAATTCAACATAGAAAATCAGGTAATATCCTTAACATATTCTTCCAACTGAATATTATGCTTCTTTTACTCTTCGCCTTACAAAGGCTCAAGCGGCAATTCATCCCTTACTATGGCAAGTTCCACCACAAGCAGTTCTCAGCAGAGTTCCCATCAAGAGCGTGTTCGCCAAGCTTTCTTAGCCCCAACCGGCTGCTCAGTCATCTCTGGGCCACATAAACCAGCCGATATCATCCCAATCGCACCCACCCTACCATTTTCTCCCTCGAATGATACACACTTAGAAAATGAGCCACTTCCTTCCGCCCCCCTAGACTCTCCTCAGATTGGTGTACAAAGAATGTCTCCAAAGATCCTTTCGGACTGGTCAGATAGAGCGATCAGGCCTGCATCTGAATCGGATTTATTAGTAAGTGGACTAAATGATCTCCCTTCTCATTTGGTAGTTTTCTCTTCGTATCTCTTTAATCTAGGATTATTAGCCACAACATCGTACTCTTCAATGGTATCCTAAATTGCCTATTCCAGAACCAATATTATAAACTATAAAGCCCCATTTTTGCCTGTTTAAGCTAACATAACAGCAAACGACAGAATTTATTTGTGGTAATTTATATTAAATCAACTCCATTTCAGTACATAGTTTCTGCCATTTCATCTGTTTTTTTTTGAAGAAATGAAATGGCGAAAGAATTTAAGGGGTGTCTATTCGTCACCCACCTACATCTAGGTCATATGAATAATCAAGCAAATGAAGTCATTTGGCTTCTTTGTATTTTCTGAATTGTATTGTATTAATTAGTGAGGCTAAAGTAAAATGTGGCCTTTGGAGACTTACATGAAGTGCCTTATCCTTTACAAATTTCACACACTAAAATCCCATATGTTTAGCCATTCCACGTTTGCTTTGAGCTTTACCTTAACCAATTATATTTAGAATTTTATTTTACACTTTTCTTGGACTCCTCCCATCAGATTTAGGAATTTATGTGAAAATGAACACTTGTTAGTCTAGCTGTTCTCATCAGACAGATTTTTAAATGGCTACATCGACTGGCTGGTATAAATGTTGTACTCTATACAATTGGATTATAAAGCTCAATGTAAATAATTCATACTGATGGATGCTGCCATCCGTACAAAAGTATCTAGTTGGCATCAAATTGTTTTAATTCATTCTCGAAAATGGCCTAATCTACCGTAAATACAAATTAAAAGAGGAATATACGTTATTTACCTCTTTGTTTGACATTTTATTCCGCCTCGGAAACTTTCTCG